AATTAGCTGCTGAAACCACCTGTCACTGCTTGTGCTGTTTGCTGGCAGATAGGGACAAAAATAGCCTCTCTTCGTGACATGGCGTGTGTCTGATGGCTCTCTGCACCTCCTTGCTCGCTGCAGGGCCGGACTCTGTGCCGTGGCTCCGGCTGGTCAGGCAGGCAGGGTCCTGGTGCCAGTCCGCACACTTCAGGCATGCTCCTGCCCTCAGATGGGATCGTGTGAAGTCGGAAGAGATGAGCGATGCTGAATTTCCTACTACTTCCCAACAGCCTCTCAGCCAGTATCTTCTCTCTTATTTTCCTAGATTTCTGTTGCTGATCAAAAAAAAAAGCTTCTGAAGACACGTTTACAGTTTCCTCTGCCATCACAGAGATTTCTGTCTGACAGGCAAAGCCAAGTTAACATTAAAAAAACCAGAGACAAAAGAAGAAAAAGCCTTTTGGCTCAGTCCAAGTCTCACCTGCTCTACCAGATTTCTTAGTGGCAAAATAAGTAATTTCCTCCTGCTGTGAAAACAGAGTTTCTTTTCCTTAGGACTTGGATACTTGTCAATACCTAAACCAGCCCCATCACTTAGTCTCCTCTTGTCAGTGAAGAGCATCTACTTTTGCACCGAGGTCTGCATCTTCCATTGCCTTGCACATCGTTTTTTCTTCACGTGCAATGGGTTTGATGGTAAAAGCCTCTACAATAAGAACTGACTAATTCTGGGCCACTGCTGAGTGAGTATCGATGCATGTGATGGCACTCGTTGTGCTGGGGCATCATTTGGCTTGTCTGGCTTCTCTGAACCGTGAAGGCCTTTGAAAAAGAAGACGTCATCTGGAGATGATGTGAAAACAGACAAAGGTGGATGGGAGCTTTTCTTCCATGCACCTGTGCAATGACAGACAAGTCATATCCTTCCCACTGGTGTAATTCAAAACAAGCTGATCTCCTATCATGGAAAGAGAGAAGTGGGCAGTGTAGGATCAGTGATTCATCTGACTTTGACGAAGAAATCTGTGATTTTGAGATGTATTTTATCAGGGCAGGAGCAAAGCATTCTGTGACTTCACGTTTGCCAGACATTTCATAACACGCAGGGTGCCGATGGTGAGTAGGCCTGTGCCCTGCCCTTGCAGTGTCTCCAGATTGCCAACAGCTGGAGCCAGCCAGCAGGGCAGAGATCTTGAAAATGCAAACCTGCCCTTTCCCCAAACCCAGAGCAGCTCTGAGTGCTGCAGTAGCTCATTTCAGCAAGGGCTGCATAGAGATAGCTGCCGTGGAGCCTGCCAGTGCTCTTCTCTCGGGCTGGTCCCCTCTGTCTGCCTGGTGCTTCTAGTTCTGCCTTCTTTGCTATACAGAAATGCCTAAGGCCCAGAAAACAGACAAAACTGAGCAGCATAACTGCTGACCAGGCTCATGCGAGAGAGGACTACCCAGTAGCAAAGCAGGATTTCCCCTGGCAGCGCTGAGCCATGCCCTGAGGAGCATCACAGGCAGCAGTTCTTGGGGAGAAAGGGGAAAATACCCAGTGCTAGCTTTGAAAATACACTTTTGCATTGGTTTATTATATCACTTAAGGATATGATACAAAGGTCAGTGAGCACAGAGCTGTGTTAGTCACGTAGTTGCTGCGTTGCTGAACAAAATGAAAGCACCTAGATAGCTGAAAGAGATAGAAAGGTCAGTATGTGCTTGTGATATCGCAGTGCAATTGATAAATAGGCATGCACTGATCATAAGATAGGCTTATTGGTGATAAGATAGGTTGGAGTGAGATAGATCTGCATTGGTGATATGATAGAGTGTTAGAGTGTTGATCAGACCTGATTACTGATACTTTATCATGTCTCATGTTATCACTGTGGGTGCTTAGTTAGAAGTTGGTCTTTTCCCTTGCAAGACAAGAGAGTGCAAGAATCAGAAGAGCTTTAAAGAGTCGGGTAAAACAGAGGGAAATGGAGCTAGTGGAAAGGAGGAGGTAAGGAGAGGTCAACAAGAAAAGAGAGGATTTGAGGAAGTTTGTGGAGAGCAGAAGCAGCCATAGAGCACCGAGCTCTGAGTCTGTGCTAACTACAGCCTTTATCTTGTCAGTGACACAGCTCTTGCTTGAACACGCAGTGCGTCTGAGAACAGTCAGTGAAAGGACTGAAAGGTCCAGCGAAGTGTCTCAATATTTGGACCTGCCAGCAGTGGGCGAGGAGAGAGGACAGGGCTGAATACATCCATGCTGTGGGTGGGGAAGAAGAGAGGCTGTTCCAATCTGCAGGGCCACTGCACTGTAGCACCCGGAGACGCCTCGTACTGAGGGGGCTGAGCCCTTTCTGCAATTGCAGACGGGATGACCAGGAGGGAGGCAGTGCATGGAGTCAAAGGAGATTCCCCTCGGCGGTGACTGTCAGACCTCGCACATGTCAAAAGCAGGAGTCATAAAGATGGGTGAGTCACAGAGCCCTGTGACTTCAGGTCCTGGTTGTCTCACTCCCTTTTTCCCCCCACAGCAACTCCTCACATTTTGTGATGCTCTTGGAACAGCCAGAGCAGCATCCACAGCCTAGATGGCTTTCTGGAGGAGAAGCCCCTGCCCCTTACTCTTGTGGCATGAGCTTGAGGGATTTGCATTCTATCTGCTGGGGTGGGTGTACACGCACTCTCACTTGAAATTGTCTCCAACTAAACCAGAAGCTCCTCTGAGGATGTGACTTCTCTGGTACTTTCCTTGCCCATTTGAAAAAATACCAGCAATCAGTTAGCTGAAAATTTAATAAGAGAAATCATGTCAAACTGCAAAATAGATTTGTTTCAAAAGAAAAGTCTAAACAAAACATTTTTGCAGTGGTTTTCAAGCAGAAAGCACATCGAACCTTCTCTTTTCCAGCAAAATCTCTGCTTTCTCTGGGAGGAAAACGTGACACAGGAGAGAATTTTTTTCCTGTCACTGCCACTAACTCACCGAACAAATAGGAACAAGCCACTTTCTACTCTGATACCTCTGTTTTCCTCTCTACTGGCAGGGATAATATGTTTGTAGTGCCCAAGCATACAAGCTAATGGAACTGAGAGAGAAAATGCTTCGGCACATAAATAGTTGGTACCACTGGAGACTGTAGTCTAAGCAAGGAGAGAGGAACACTCCTGTTTTTCATCAGACTGGTTTCTCTGAGTGCTTAAACAGGCTGTACAGAGAGGGTAATGTAGGCCTCATACCTGAATGCTCCCCAGGAACCATTGTCTTCAGATCAAATCCATCTCCCATTAAGGTTTTAGACAAGGGCTGTGCCCTGGTCTGGGCTGTAGCTGTTTATTTTACCCCCGGGACAAGGTATTCTGTGTGAGCTACTATGTGGCTTTCGGATACCAGAAGATGGTGAGAGATAAGCTTTTCTATTCACTGTATCTCAGGGCTCTGATCTTCTGCTTCCCCAGCCTTCACAACCACTCTGCTCTCTGCAACAGTGCAGACCACAGTCCCCCCAACATGGGTAATCCACTGCATCTGGGGTTGGGGGTGGACCAGTACAAGCCTTGATAGGTGGGCTTCCACAGTGGACTCAGCTGAGCAGCTGTATATGCCATTAGCTGCAAGAAAGCTCCAGCTCTGCAGTGAAGCCAGCCCAAGGATGACCAGGTTGGTGACTCTGCCGGGTTACGGAGATCATCAAGGAAGGAAGCTCTGGCCTAGTAGAGGGAAATTACAGTGATTTGCTTGACAGCTTGAAGCAGTTGCAAGTATTTATGGTAGTTGAATAGTCTGAGCCACAGATATGTTAAAAAATATAGAATAGTTTATTTACAGGGAGACCAATTTTCAGGCTTGAAAAGCAAGATGCTGGTTTCAGTAGCACAGAGGGGCCAGGTGGGATCCAGGAGGTGAGCGATGGGTCCTGGGAGTTTAGTTGTTTCGGGAGCCGTAACCAGCTTGGAGGGCTGTGGCAGTGCAGGAGGGACATACCCCGTGCTCTGTGCTCTGTGCTGAGCAGGCACATGACAGTGCCCCGGCCTGAGAGCACTGGGGCTGGCAGACTGCGTGGAGGGCAAAGCAGTGGCACTGTGCAGCTCTGCCCTCCTGCTCCTCCCCATCTGTGCTGGGGGCGAGCAGCACACCCGCTGCTTCTTGCCCTAAGGCAAGGGAAAGGGGACTCGAGGGCTCCATGTCCTGTGTCCCACCCCATGCAAACCTCACCAGTAATGTGTACTTGGTGGTTTTCCTGTGAAATAATTTGGTTTTAAAGGATCTGGAAAAATCCAGGTCTGCTGGAGCCAACATAGTTCATCCTTAGTGAGTCTGGTAGGCATTAAGCTCTGAGGTCCTGGGATAGTTTTGGAAGTGGGTAAGAAGGAACTATAATACTGTCTGTACTGTCCTGTGCTGGGTCAGGCTGGAGATGTAAATCACGGCCGGCTGTTTGGAGACACGAGGCACAGCTGAGCGCCCTTGTCTGCTGTGACACCTTCATCTCCCAGGTTCTTACTTCTGGAACTACTTGAGAAACAAAACCGGTGTTTAAGAGGTTAAAGTATAAATTTGCAAAGAGCCTTTCCAGGTCCCATGCAGGAAGGGTGTGTGTTGAGGAGCAGAGAGGGAAACTCAAGGAAGAGTTGGTTTTGACTTGTTCTCTGTCTCTGGCCCATTTTCTGTCTTGGTAGCAATACTGTAGTAGTAGGAGCGGATTATGTTTTAGATAGAGTCAACAGAAAGGGCAAAAATGGACTGGTGCAATGAGATGATACCAAGCACAGAAGAACCTGGGGAAGAACAGCAGCCCAGTTGCACCAGGGCTTAGGAGGGCACCTGAGACTTTTCTGGGATGGAGAGGAGCAAAAGCACAGAGGCTCTGACATCTTCCAGGCAAACACAGGGGTATGATAATAAAGAAATAGCTGCATCATTCATCATAGACTGTGGAATGAGACCAAGGCAGGAAACACCATTTTGCTTTGTGTTGCCACCATCCAGTGCATGCTGTTCAGATGGAGCTGCTGCCCAGCAAAGACTTGAGCTAGTGAAAGCCTTACCTGTAGGTCCAGCATTGCTGCATGAGGGCGTACATCTCTGCGGGGCAGTCTGTGGGACAGTCCATGCGCTTCCCTTGCTCTATGAAGCTGATGACCTCTGGGCCTTTCATTTTCTAGGATAGGATGAAGTGAGAAAATACTTTTAATGTTTCTGGAGCTGGCAACAGGATTGGAAGAGGCAGATTAGAGCTGGGCATGGGGTAATGCTATGGATCCACGCACCACACACCCGGTACAGTCAATGTTTTCAACCCTGACACTCAGTGTGGTGTCTTGCGTTGTGGCCAGCCCAGTCTGCGGACCCCATCCAAGGCCTGAGCAGAGCAGTGGCTAAGCAACTGATTTCTCAGCTCTGCAAGTGAGCAGAAGGATCATAGAGAAGATCTGCTTTGATTCAAACCCAAATTAATTTGTTTTGTTCTCTGTTTCTTCTCCCTTAAATGAACACAAAGCTGCAGGATCCAAACAATCGAATTTGTGCCTTTCATAAAGTGAAAGTGAGCCTGTCTCCTTTCCCCTGTGTTCAACAGAGGGAAGAACATGCACTCAAGGAAACAGAAATTGTAGTTTCAGTGTGTGTCAGCCTGTTATAGCGCAGGTGACCAGACTGTGGCATCCATCCGTGATGGACCCAGCTCTGCCTCACCTTGTACGGTTTCTGCCCGTAGCTGAAGGCCTCCCACATGGTCACGCCGTAGCTCCATACATCACTCTTGCTGGAGAACTTGTGATAGAGGATGCACTCTGGGGCATACCATTTCAAGGGCCACTTTCCTGCTGTCCTGGCCTGTAGCAAAGCAAAGAGGAGCATTTCCACACTGAGACACAGACTGCTCTGAGCTGAACCGCAATTCTGCTTTGCTAAATGTTTGTGTCAAATGCAATCCCATGCTGCTGGAAAAAGCCCCTTGCCCTGGGCTGGGAGCTCAAGGTCCTAAGCCTTGAGCCCCAAACCCCAGCCCAGGCCCTGCTGTCTCGCTGGCCCTGCTCAGCCATCCCTGGTGGCAGAATGCTGCCCAATGGTGCCGCTCTCCTCCCACACCCCAGCCCCAGAGCTCAGCATGGTTATGCACTGGTGCACACTGCTGGGAAGATCAGCCTTGGCTCACTCTGCATCACATTTTCTTCCCTACTCTCTGCTCTGGGTCCTCTCCTGTGTCCTCTCTCCTGCATCCCCCTTGCTGCCTCTGCATCCATCTGAATTTCCTCCTTGCCACACAGAGCTTTGCAAAGCCTCTTTCAATGCCACAGCAGTGAGGCCAGCCGGAGTGTGATGTGGCCATGCAGCAGGGGTCCTGGGTAGAGTCCTGACGCCCTGCTTGTGGGGCTCTCAGCCCCCCAGTTAGAAGGGCTCCTGCTAGCTATCTGGAACCTTCGCTGTGCTTACACTTACCTTGTAGTAGCTGTCATCAGCACCAAGAGCCTTGGAGAGTCCAAAGTCACTGATCTTGGCGTAGTGCTGGTTGACCAGCAGGACATTTCTGGCTGCCAGGTCTCTGTGGACAAAGTTTTTTTCCTCCAAGTACTTCATTCCCATGGATACTTGGTGCATTAGCTCCACAATATTGCTGACTGTAATTTCGTCTCTGGGGAAGATGAAAGGACAATGCAGTAATAAAGGGCCTGCCACTACTTTGTATACCACAGTCTCCTCCAAGTTTTCTAGCTGCAAGGGAGAATAAACGTGGACATCTCTGCTCCAGAAACATCAGTTGCGATTACATTGCATGAAAAGACATCTCTTCTGCTGTTATCACCTTCCCTCCACCTAGAAAGCCAGGTTCCCCTGGCAGCAGAGAATTTGATGAGAAGTGCAGAAAATCAGCCAGCCACGTTTTATTCAGTACTCACTTCTTGGAAGCCAAGAACTTGTTGAGTGGCCCTCCAGAAGCCATCTCCATCACGAGCATCAGGGACTCTGCCTCACAGACTCCAATCATGCGGACAATGTAGGGGTTGTCCAGCTGATGCATGATTTGGGCTTCCTTCATCATTTCATCCTTCACTGTTTTCTCATTGTTGCTCTTCAGCACCTTTATAGCCACATCGATCTGCTTCCTGCACAGGATGCAAGGGGAACACACATGGCATGAATTAAACAGCAGCTGGACTCCTGTGTCACAGCCAGGAATGCAAACCTCTTCTCATGTGATACTGTTTGATCTCTCAGCGGCCATCTCAGTAGCCTGTTTTGGCGGAGCCCTGCGCAATACTGGTGTCCCAGGCCTGCTAGAAGGCCAAAGAGAAAAGGATCACCTTACCCGTGCAAGTGTAGGCCAGTATTTGCTGTCTGTAGATCTGAAGGCGCATCACCTCACACGCCGAGATCTGCGTCATCACTGCCATTTTTCAAGGGGGAAACTCAGGCACAAAGTGGGCAAAGACCATCTTTATGGACTCGTAGATAACCAGAGACAGAGCCAAGGATCACACTTCTCCTCAGACTCACTGCTTTGCCCTGACATGGATCAAGATGACCTCAGAAGCATGGATTTGCTCCTCTGAGCCCAGCAGTGCCGTCAGAAGTGGCAATCTTACGCCCGGGAGGCTGCAGTGCAGGTTACGCTCTCAGGGCAACGAGGCTGCCACTGAAAGTCTGTGGAAAGTCATCACTGACCTTCCAGAGTATCTCTTCTACCTCCACCCCGTTATCACTTTAGGGTCCATCTAGCTAGAAACAGGATAGCTGGGGACACCTCTGAGCTCAGCCTGGAGCACCCTCCTCCTGCTTCCTCAGCATCCTTCAGGGCGGCACTCACTTTCTCATTTTGTAGACTCCTTTCTTCACGCAGCCAAAGTTTCCTGCCCCCAGTTCCACTTCATCGATCATCAGGTGGTCCCTCTTCAGGAAAAGCTTTTTATCCTTCAGTTCTTCAGGGTCACTGTATGGGCTCTCGTAGACACTGGTGTCCATGGGTAGCAGGCGAGACTTTCCTGCACCTTCCCCACCTTCCCAAGAGATACAGTTTTTTATAGCTGTAAACAATGTATTCTTCCCCATCCCTCTCTCCCTCACTGGCTGGGAATATGATCTCCTGACAAATTCTCCTTCAAGCTCCATCATTCAAGCGTCCCTCCTGGGTATCTCCCTTCCTTTCACAACCCATGGCCTCTCCTAGTTACAGCTGCTGAAGGAGCCAGGATGGGGAGAGGTGTTTGAGCATTCCCACTCCACACATCAGACCCTGAAGGAGCTGGGCACATGCATGACTTCACCCCACAGAAATGTAATTGAATACACTGAGTATTTAGTAGGCAGGATGGAAGATGGGGAACAGGGCAAGGCTTGATTTACTGGGTATGATGGGGAATGGGACAGGGCTTGATTTACTGGGTGCCGGGCATGGGCAAATAGTTTTGAAATGTTCTTGTCTCGGGGCTCTGAAGTGAGTGGGATGCTCCTGGGTGCCTTTGTAAGAAAGGGTTTTCGTAGCAGAGCTTTTTGACCACAAGCAGATATAGATGTGTCAGGTAAACCCCATAGTTCTGTGGCATCCCCAGGTCCTGTCTCCTCCTGTTAGGAGGAGAAGGCTTTCAAAGATACTCACCTACAGGTTCTGGTGTGTATCCGTCTGTGTTGAGAGGCCCAAGGTGTCTCTGGAAAACAAATGGGGATAAAGTGGGTAAAGCAGCCAGGGGAAACTGCTTCAGTTTGAAATGGGAGAGGAGAGGGACAGGGACCCTCTGCAGCCCACAAAGCCCCAGCTAGTGACTCCCTCTAAAAGGCTGGAGTGGTGTCGAGGGGAATTTTCTCTTCCAGTCCCAGCTGTCAGGTACCCCCACTGCAGCTGCACAGCAGGGATCAGGCCCTGGGGGGATTCACTGCCATGGAGCCTGGATGCAGGATTGCCCTCCAGTACCCCAGCCTGTGGGCTGTGCAGGGTGAGGTGCTGAGGGCTCTGCGTTCACCCGAGCAGTGAGGGGCACGCACACAGGGCTGCGTTTTGCTCTCTGCCCCCTTTGCTTTCCCCATCCCAAAGTGATGTGTCCTGCAGCAGCAAGGGTCATCCCAGCCAAGGCTCTGCAGCCTGTTTTGAGACAGGGAGCGAAGCTTGCAGCCAGCAGACCTACCTGCCCGTAGAGTGGCTCCCGTGAGCACACACGGACACTGTAAACAGCCACCGTCCCAAAAGCAGACAGCGACAAAGCTGTATGGTACACGTTGGTCCAGCACAGCCTTGAACGCCAGCGCTGCTTGCAGCAGCGTCACCACAACATGGGAGCCCACCGCAGATTGTGAAAGCTCTCTGAGAAGACGGGTGAATTCTCAGGCCTTAATTTAGCCTCTGCTGGGCTCTGGGATGGGTTGCTCATGTAGCCCAGACTAGCTGGTTTCAACACTGCTCAGCACTCAGAGCGGTGACTGAGCGCAGACGTACCCCGAGGCCAGGGACACAGAGGGAGCACAAAGACCTGGCCGGTGGCCAGCAGCCAGCAGCAAGGCTGAGCATTCCCAGAATCCGACCACATCTTCATCGCTCCTGCCTGGCAAGGAGGGCCGGGGGGAGAGGGCTCCCTGAGGACTGGCCCACATGTTGCAAGGAGCACAGTATGAATGGAAATCATTTTCAGCTCCAATGGTAGCTGTGCCCAGCTATTCCTGTCCCCATCCAAGCTGGAAAGGGGATAACATTGCAGCTGGACTTAATATTCCATTTGATTTATTGCCTTTTAGAGAAGAACAGAGTTTGATCAGCAAGCTTGAAATGCAATAACATTAAACCACTGAGGTACCAATAAAACAGACGCTCCCCAGAACTTACGCTGACGGAGGGGTGGGTTGGTGGAACCGGTGCTGCAGATGCTGTGAATCAGGAGAGAGAGAAGGTGTTCAGCTCAAGAGACCCATCAGGAGCCAGACTTGCAGAACATGTTGTTTCGTGCTGCCTAAAAGCAGGTCATTTTTCAGAAGCCATCTGTTTGGCACCAGAAGTCCCTAATCCATTTGGAGCACTGATTCCCCCATCTGCTCCCGTCTTTGGGCCACCCTAGGCCAAGCCTGAAGAGTAGCCACTTTCAGCAGATAACATGATGTGAGACTTGCCCAGTTTGCCAGAGGAGCAGAGACCTCACCCTTCCCTCACCGCCAGGGTCTGAGCAAGGTTGGACATGGTAAAGGAAACACAGGCTGGTGCTGCTCAAGTTGGTCCCACTCAGTGGTAAACCGAGGCCAGGGATCACACTGAGAGATGTTGGCTCACCTGGCATGTTGGGGTTGGGGCAGGTTTCCCTCAGGTAGAAAATCAGCCCGTCCGGTTTGAGTTTTAGGTACTCCACCAACTGGGAAAGGAATTGGAGGAAAAAGAGATTATTGTGAGGAGAAAATAATCTCTTCTTTTTTTTTTTTTTTTGCAGGCAACTTGTTGGGGGTATGGTAATGATTTCTCTCAGATTTATGGCAGAGAGGGACTCCACTATTTCCTTCTCTCCAGGCAACTTGTGTGGTGTATTGTAATTATTTCTCTCAGATTTATGGCAGAGAGGGACTCCACTATTTCCTTCTCTCCTCTCCTATCCATGAACTCAGGGATCTCCTAGAGCAAGCGTTTGCATACCTGGATATCTGCCAGAGCTGGGAAGAACTTGGGAAGTTAGATAAAGACTGAAGAAAGAAAAAGGAAAATCTCCAGTAGGAAAGCTGGGTAGGGCATTTTCAGTGTAATGTTATTATTGCCTCAGCCAGAAAGGTTTTTAAGCCATGTTGTATTTCATAAAGCATGAGAGAAACCTTTTGCCTTCCCAGAGGAACCCCCAGGGTTAGCTCTGTGGATCCCGGTTAGTTTTTCATTGCAGAAACCATCAGTTCAGACACAGTGGGGACTTAACTCCGGCTGGAGACGACCAGCCCAGCCCCTGACCACTGGACCACAGGGGAGAGGAGCCTTTCTCTTCCTTGCCTGTCTGGCTCAGATTTCATCTGCAGTTGGGAGCCCTGGCACTGTTCTGTGGCCATAAAAATGCCCCAAAGTCTTTGTTTTCAGTCAAATTCAGAGTGAAAACAGTCCTGGGAATTTAAAAAATTGAGCAAAACAGAGTTACTGTCCCCCCGACAGCCCTGCCTAGGAGGAAGCGCTGGTATCCATCCCTGGAGCAGGTCCGAGGTGTGTGCCACGGGGCAGAGCTGGGCTCTGGGGGGGCATGTGACTCCCCAGCAGTGCCGAGAGCTCTGGGGCCATACGTCATATTCCCTAAAAACCTTGCCCCATCCTTACGAGGACTCTGGGACATTACAGCCATCTTCACTTCCCAAAGCCCCTGACCCTCAGGGGTGCTAGGATGTGTCTCCTGGTAGTTGGATCTTCAGTCATGTAAAGATTTTGGCAGCTGGCTCAAGACTTCTGGCCTCCCCTACTCTTTGCACAGAAGTCAATCACTTGGAAAATAAAGTGGCAATCTGCACACAAAAGTTTTGCTGGTCCAGGAGCAGTGTGGGATGAGCAATCTCGTTGGGGCTTGCTGCAGGCAGAGGTCTGAGGTGCTCGCTGTGGCTGAATGTGTGATGTTTGCTGATGGGCTGCAAGTGTAATTAATATAACCATCTCAAGTATCCTGGCATAAAGCTAGAAATTAAAAGCACTAATCCTCTTGTTTCCCTGGAGAGGCAGCACGCTGGTGTAAGGCATGAAGGCGGTGGTAAAGCCAGCACTATTTCAGAGCTGCTGTGATAACCCAGACTTAGACCTACTCAGCTAGGAGTGCACAGAAATGAATGCAGTGAGGTGAGCTGACGGACAGCCAGAGCCAGGGAGCGTGAGGATTTTCTGGAAGGGGCTACAACCACCCGTCTTAGATCATTTAAAGCTCCACACGGCCTTTCCCGTCCCTCAAGACATGGGTAGCTGTAACAAGGGAAAAGTGCCTTCACTTTCTCAGGACACCAGTGGTCAGCATCCCACAGTACGGTACCTGCCAGAGCGTGTCAAACTTGGTCCCCTCGGGGATGGAGTACTTGCCGGACTTGTCCTGGTCTATCCGATAGTGATACACTGTTTTGCCATAGACGAGTGAGAGGGCATAGGCACCATTCTCCTTCCTTTCTCGCAGCCTGGTAGAAAAGAGAACTATTAAAAACAACTCTAGATTTTGCCCTGCAAATTATCGTGGCTGCAGTGGTGGTGGGTCACTGGGTGGACACTTGATAAGGCATCCCTGCACCCCACTGTTGGAATTGTCACCTTCCCAGCACCCCTCTGTGGAGGCTGACAAGGGACCCTTCACCTTCAGTCTCTTGCCCCTCTCCCCCACCCTCTCCAGCTATTTCTTTCTTTCCTGAACTCATTCAGGAGATAATTAAATTAAGGACTGTCTCACCTTAGCAGAGATGAAGAGTAAATGCTTTCTCCTGTATTTTATTTGCCATAAATTTTCTACGTGTCAGTATTCAATGTCTTCACCCACTGAACCCTGTATCTCATATCATCTGGTGCATTCACAAGCACGCTTCACAGAGATAACAAAACATGAGAAACAAATAAAGCTCAAGATTGGCTCTTCATGGAAGCCAGACATTGTCTGGACAATAGTAGGTTTGGGGTATCAGACCCTGTCTTAGAGAGATTTGTAACCACAGTCTGACCATATTCAGCTAAACCTCCTCTCAGGAACCGTCACATGAAACAAGTAACTGCAGGGTAGTGGAGGTGGGGCAGTGGTAAAGAGTACAGGGATCACAGCATCTGCCGGGATTCTGCATGCTCACAGGAATTTCCCGTCAGGTTGTGCCCCAGAGTAAAGCCTCCGTTCAGCTTCATCCCGGGCGATGTTGCTGTGGTACCAGGGCATCCTCTCATGGGCTGTGGTGGCGATGAGCTTCTCCACCTGCGGAGCCTGGCTTATGATGGCCTGTTCAAGTGCATCACCCTGGAAGAGAGTGAGAAATGAGACCTCCTGTCACTCTGCTGCACTGTTGCATGGCTTCAGCACAGTGCATTTTGCACCCTTTTGGGCAGATGACACAGGAAACTTGAAAGGTCTCGTAATTGAGGTGCCTGTGGCCTTAATCACGCCTATAGCAAGAGTAGGTTGAATTCTGTTCTGCTGCAGAGTGGAATTCCTTGCTTATCTAAATTGGTCCCATCCCTCGAATCCAGCTGAAGTCCACTGACTTGCTGGTGAGGGAAGAGAGAAGATATTCATATGGGGGATCTTGACGTCAGGCTTGCAATGTCTTTCAGCCTCGCATTCCCGGGAGAGCAGGACCTCTTTCTGGTGCCTTTGCCTTCCTGGCTGCTCGCTGTCTCCAGACACTATAACTTGTCAAGAGCAGTGCAGTCTGGAAATCATGTGTGAGACCCTAAATTAATTTTACTGGTGTGAGACCCTAAATTAATTTTACTGGCCCCACACATTTTATAAACAACTGTAGTTTTTCATTCGCCAGTAGGTGGCGATGTCCTTTGTGTTATCTGCCAGTGTTCACAGATCAGCTTCAAGGAGAAACTCTGTAGATGCCTCATTCTGTCAAGCACCTTTGGTCTAAAGTAGGCCAAATTTAGAGATCTTTTCTAGAAGGGTTCCATAAAGAGAATGCCTGAGCCATCTTTCTGCGAGGACTTGGAAGCGTCTCAGTAGCTACTCTCGAGGTGACAGCAGGTAGCAGGATATTAATTACGTGGCTGCCAGGGTGACCATTTACAGGCATTTGCCTTATACATATATCATATATATTCCAGTCTTTAATAAAATGCAGGAACCTGTCTGTAGCTATTTTTAAATTTAAGTAACAGACAGACCTGATCCAGTACCCAGTAGCTCAGTCTCATAGGTAAAACCTCCACTGACTTCAAAGAGCAAGGAAAACCTGAGCAAGAATTAAAGTCTGGTTTCATTGCATCTTCAGCACAGTGTTATGGAGGCACAGGCACCTCACGTGGAGGGTGATGCTCTAACTGCAGCGAGCATCCCATGTGCTGCAGAGGAGCAAATGGCACTGCAGAGCAGACGCAACATGAGCTCTTCAGAGGAAGAATCTGAAGGCTTGGGAAGATGTTTAGACCTGGTTCTGAAGAAGAAACTGGAAAAGAGAGAGACTTCAGACTGCTCTTACTGCCAGCAGCCTCCGAGGACCTTGCTTTACCATGCCGTAAGAGGGGGATGACAGCAACAGAGGAGGTCAGGGAGTTCAGGGTGGCAAGCAGCAGTAAGTACCCGGGGAGCACTCCTTGCGCGGTCCCACACCACCTTTGGCAATGGCCAGTACCTCTAGTTTCCACGTCTGCCGGACATATTCGCGCACCATATTGTCCCTCATGCTGTCGAAGACACCGGCCTGGGGCTCCACACCACTGGGGCGGTTGCAGGGCTTGCGGAGGGTGCAGCAGAGCCCATCGGCATCCTTGGAGTAAAACTCACAGAGCTCCTCCGGCCCACAATGCGCTTTTCCCCCCGCAATGGCGTAGGTACCATTCATCTGGCGCTCGATGGCGTAGTGGTAGAACTGCAGGTTGTAGACCATGGAGAGGACATAACCCCCCAGACTGCGCAGACATTGCCGCAGCAGGAACAGACCGTCCGACATCCCCGCCAGCTTGAGGTACTCCTCTGCTTCTGACCGGGCAATGCTGCCGTAGTAAAAGGGCAGGTGAGCAGCAGCATCTGGCATCTCCGCGTGCTTACCAGGACTGCTGGGGTCGACTCACGTGCTGCTGGTGTTCGATCTGGAAGAAAGAAGCAAAATTCTTCATTGACACATAATTTTGTGAAAAGGTTTAACAGGAATTCAGACTTGTCTGCCTAGAGGTTCTTCAGCCCTCAGCTGACTACCTGTAGCATCATTCCAAACATCGCATGGAGAGTAGCAGTGGGTGCATTTATATCCCCAGCCAGAGAATCTCACGGTGATTCCTCTATCCCACCCTGAATGCAGCTAGAAAGTGTAAGTAAAAATCCATCTGATTTTGATTTAAAGACTTCAAGCAACAGAGAATGCACCAAATCCTACAGTGAACTGTTCCAATGGTTAATTACCTTCACTATTAAAAACATGCTTCTTACATCCATCCCGAAGTTTTTAGCTTTGACTTCCTACCATTTTCTCTCCAGCCCTGTTCACAATAAAAGGAAATTCTTTTGCCTCTCTGAATAAGTTAGTTTTGTCATGAGGGTCTACAAGGCCAAAACCTTAAATGGAATAAGATTACAACACGAGATGGACATTAAATGTCTGAAAAACATTTAGATACACATCGCACCAAACACAGAAAAAGGAGATAAAAATGAGCCCAAGTGATTCTGGGCAGACATTAACCATCAGTTGACAGCACAAGAAAAAACCTTCCTGTAGTTGTATCTTGAAAAACTTGGGGGGTTTTTCCCACAGTACCTGACTCGGCCGGTTTCTGCATTAGGCCGATGCTCTGATCTGTGTGGCAGTTCCTATTTCTGCACCGTGCACACGGTCCAGAGAAGGCCGGAGCTCCGACGTGGCCAGCCATCACCGCAAAGTCAGTTTAATCCCCCTGCCTCTGTTGAGCTGCAGTGTGCAAGCGTTACTGGAGCCCCCTGTTCAGAACAGCCTAAACCCCGAAATGAACCTACCCCTGCGCTGCTGCAGCACCAGCTCATGGTGGGAATCCAGCGAGAAATGGCAATTTGTTGACTGAGTCACGGCAGAGCCCCTTCTGTCAAAGAGCTGTAGGTCTTGTATCGAATCATTTAAGATCCCACCCACAAACAAGAGCCAATTTCCTGTGATTAATGGAAACATTCTCGTATTCAAAGGGTCTCATTTGTTCCCTGGAGCGAATCTTTGATTTTGTCATTGCGCAGATGCTGACCCCAAAAAGATCAGCGTGTTTGTCTCCATCCTCTTTTCCCGCAAATGCGTCACTCGTGTTCAGAGCAAAGAAAAGATCGGCTCTTTGGCCAGCGCGCTGGGTGTTTGCCCCAATTCTTCCCAGTGTAACTTTCATTTCTGAACATGATGGAGACGTCGCTGCCTGGTGGGTTGGGCACACTGTGCTGTTCCAGAAGTGGCCTCTGCTCTCAGGCAGTGGCTTGAGCTGTGCCTGGGCTGGTGGTCAGCCCTGCTCCGTCTCACCCAGCCTGCCACAGCCCACCCAGGGACAGGGCTGCCTCCTGCCAGCCTCTGGGACTGCTGGAGCTGGGAAGGGGTTGGCTGGATACGCGATTTGTACGGGCAGGAACAGTATAGGGGTCTGGAGGAAACTGCTCAGGAGAAACCGTTCTGCTGGGTGCACCCTGCTCTGCTCAGCCTACAACAGCAAAGGCCCATGGGGAGCTGGATTTATGGCAACCAGACTCTTCTCTACCTGTTTGTTGACTTCATTAAGCCCAGAAATGGCCCTGATGAGAACAGGAAGGGAGAGCAGGCTCCGCCGAGGAGGCGTTTTAGCCGAGGCAGGAAACCACAACAGGAAGCCGTCAGTGGCGTTTGCAGCTTGGGTGCGGGACTAGCGTAAACCGTGTCAGGCGCAGCACAAATAAGCCTGAGCTGTGAAGCCCCTTTCATCAGATTCATCAAATGAGGCAAAGTGGGGTCTTGGCAGCCCTGCCAGTCTGGGACACAAAAGGCAAATGAAAACGCCCTGTAACTCAAACCCTAACTGGAGTCAGTGCTTGGAACCGAAGCAAACGTCCTAATCCATTGATGCCTCCAGGCATCAAAGCACCCGAGACACTGCACAGGCGTATCCCAGGTTCAGCTCCTGAGATGACTTCCAGGTCTTCCCAATCTCAGTCTGGTTCCGTGGGAGAGCAGGTCCCAGGAAGGTGAGTTGAAGGATGTGAGGAGCGAGGATTGCAGCTCTTGATTTTAACTGCAGAGTCAGGCTCGTGAGTCATGTTCACGAGTCAAGGAAGAGGAAGCGCTGAGTGGGCAGTGGAAGGTCCATGGCCTTCATGTGCTACTAATTTCCACTAGCTACCTGGGATAAACAGTGATTAGGTACAAGGACACGGCACCCAAACATGTTGATTCCTTTTTCTGAAAGTCCAGGACCAGAACATCACAGAAAATGGAACATGTTTGACAATTGTTCAGACAGGTGAAAATGAGATGGCAGAAGGCATTGATCACCACCGAGCTCCTACAAAGTTTCCAGCTGCCTACACAGGTGGTTCTGTTATAAACAGACTGGTTTTCTTCTCCAAGCACAGGGCTGTGAGTCAAGAAAGACTCACAGAGATATGAGAGTGAACCCAAGGATGAGAGGTTGGTTCAGGCTATGCCACCCATTTCATACAAGCCTTGTTACCACAAATGAATCCTGTTAGAGAATTACCCTTATTAGAAAAAACTTAAGTCCCCAGCCATGAGGGAAAGTCAACCCCTGAAGTTTCAGAGCAGATTTGAACAGGATGATATATAGCCCCTGTAAAGCTCTTGCTTTAAAAAAGTTTCTCCTACCATCCTGGCTCTTTCTCTTGCCCATGTAGCAGCCCAGGGTCTTCTGGGCTTAGCTAAGCTCCTCTTCCAAACTGCAGCTCTGCCCCTTAACTCTACCTCTGGGTGGACCTGAGCAACCCTCATACAACCTCAACAGATGTACACAAACCTCGGATAACTTTGTTTACCCATGCTGTAAAGTGCAGATGAAAATGAGAACTGATTTCATGGATTTGCTTTGATGAACATAACAAATGAGTGCCTGGAAGAAGCTGTGCGAGGGACCCTCCACCACTGTTAATTTCAAGTAACAGGATCTGATTTTTCCAGCACCTGCTCAATCTCTGTCCCTTGGGCTGCAGCAACCCAGATGCCGGGTCTTGGCTTCGGGTGCTTCCCCCAGGTTAGAAACAGCACTCGGGGAGAACGGCCGTAAAACCAGGGCTTCTGGGATGATGGCCGTGTTTGCAAGCTGGCGTTATGACGTGAAGATGCACTGAAAAAAGCAACACCCACGTAAAAAGTAGTCCGATGCGTGCACTGTGACACACAGGAAAGCCAGGCAGGAAGCTATTGAGATGTCAGTCAATCAGATCTATATATAGCCGGCCACTTGCTTTTATTTAGATCAGACAAGAACTGTCAGGAACTGGTTTGATTTTATAATTTCTCAGAACAGCAGAACCACTTTGTGCGAATCCGGAGCCGGTCCCCGAGAGCAGCGGGGTGCGCTGATGCAACCGGAGGAGGCCCTGGCAGACTTTAGCATCCCGTTAGAGCCATGTTTTCTGTGTCATTGTCCTGGCAGCAATAATCCCTCATAACACAACCCTGGCTGGCTGGCTGGGCTGTCCCTTTAAGGTGGCGGGGTCAGCCTGGGGTGGGGGAGGGACCTTCCCGGGGGAGACCAGGGTGGGCTGGAGGATGGGTACCATGTGATGGGGAACCAGCCTGGAGGGGTATAAAGGGGGGTGTCCGAGGGGGTTTGTGTGCTTGGGAGGAGGTGGTAGGGGCTGTTGATGAGGTTCGTGTGGGCAGTGTGGGGGGGGGGGTCGGAGCCGTGGCACCGGGTGGGTTGCGGGTGGGCAGAGGGAGCAGCCCAGCCTGAGGGCTTGCGTGGGCGAGGGCAGCTGGGCGGGTGCGGGGCATCAGCTCTCTCCTGAGCTGCTGGCCGGCCTGTGCTGCCTCCGCGTCTCCTCCTGGGGCCTGCTGCCCTCTCTGACCGCCTCGGGGGGAGGAAAGAGGCTTCTCGTGGTGCCTTGCCTAGACCCGCCCGCACTTAATGCAAGAATCGATGTCCTTTCTTAGGGTGCTGTGTGCAGCCCCTTCTCAGTGGTGCTTCAGGAGAGCACTGAGTAAAAGGTTTGTACTCAAGAAACCCTTCTGTTTACCGAGCTCTCCGGGAGTGGCTGTGGTAGCTCTGTGGGTCCCCAGGGATATGGGGCTCAGGGCTGAGCCCGCTGAGCGGAGGCTGCGGCTCAGCCAAGGTGCAGGCAGGGTTTAGAGGTGGGAGCAGGGTGTGGGGTGCAGAGAGGGATGGCAGAAAGCTGAGTGAGTCTCAAGCAACAGTTGCTTCCCTCTGTACCTGCAGAGGCGATGGGCATGTACGGGGACCTTCTGGCTTCCCCAGGGCTGCAGAGGAGCACCAGTCTCCCATCCCTTCCACTGGATTCCCTTCTGTTATTCCTGATTTGATCTGAGAAATAGATGTACGGTGGAGAGCCTGGTTGAAGATGTGAAAGGCTGAAAAGTGTCCGTAGTGTACAAGTTCCCTTTCTAAATCATTCTTCCCAGGAGCAGCTGGCACTGTGCAAGAGGATGAACTGAAGAGCTGATTCCTGGAGCTCAGACACATGGGGGTTTTTAAATCTTAAATAACAAAAGCCTTAAAATAACTTTGATTCAACTTGAAATGCTTCTGAGTTAAAAGAAAGACCTGAAAAACTTAAATTTGGATTGGCCTGACTGCATTCTTCTAATTGTTCTTGATTGTTTAATTTTTATTTATGTACTCCATGGCAGCTCTTCCCAAGATTTCCTCATGAGCACTTACATTCCTGGCTATAACTGCTTTCCTAACCTCCCTGCTGACTACTCATTAAAACCTCAGTTACTCAACCATTTATTAACACTTGAACTATGTATGAGTAGGAGTTTATGAAAGTGTGAGCCCATTTATGTTTGTACTCATAAATGGTGTGCCTTCTGCTTGCATGTGAAGATAATAATCTTTTCTACTTCTCAGTGAGTATTAC